GACTAGAGATCTCTTCAAGAAAATGAGAGATACCAAGGGAACATTTCATGCAAAGATGGGCACCATAAAGGACAGAAATAGTATGGACCTAACAGAAGCAGAAGATATTAAGAAGAAAGGGCGAGAATACACAAAAGAACTGTACAAAAAAGATCTTCATGACCCAGATAACTATAATGGTATGATCACTCACCTAGAGTCAGATGTCCTGGAACACGAAGTCAAGTGGGCCTTAGGAAGCATTACTATGAACAAAGCTTGTGGAGGTGATGGAAATCCAGTTGAGCCATTTCAAATCCCAAAAGATGATACTGTGACAGTGCTGCACTCAATATCCCAACAAATTTGTACAACTCAGCAGTGGCCACAGGACTGGGAAAGGTCAGTTTTCATTCTAATCCCAAAGAAGGGCAATGCCAAAGAATGTTCAAACTACCGCACAATTGCACTCATTTCACACGCTAGCAGTGTTATGCTCAAAATTCTCCAAGCCAGGCTTCAATAGTACGTGAACTGTGAACTTCCACATGTTCAAGTTGGATTTAGAAAAGGCAGAGGAACCAGAGGTCAAATTGCCACCATCCACATCATCGAAAAAGCAAGAGAGTTCCATAAAAAATGTCTACTTCTGCTTTATTGACTAGGCCAAAGCCTTTGACTGTGTAGATTACAACAAATTGTGGAAAATTCTTCAAGAGTTGGGAATACCAGACCACCTTACCTGCCTCCTGAGAAATCTGTATTCAGGTCAAGAAGCAACAGTTAGAACTGGGCATGGAACAACAGACCTGCTCCAAATTGGAAAGAGTACGTCAAGGCTGTATATTGTTACCATGCTTATTTAATTCATATGCAAAGTACATCATGCAAGATTCCAGGCTGGATGAAGCACAAGCTGGAATCAAGATTTCTGGAAAAATATCAATAACCTCAGATATGCAGATGACACGACCCTTTTGGCAGAAAGTAAAGAAGAACTAAAGAACCTCTTGATGAAAATGAAAGAGAGTGAAAAAGTGGGCTTAAAGCTCAACATTCAGAAAACTAAGATCATGGCATCTGGTCTCATCACCTCATGGCAAATAGATGGGGAGACACTAGAAACAGTGAGAGTCTTTTATTTTTTTGGGCTCCAAAATTACTGCAGATAGTGACTGCAGCCATGAAATTAAAAGATGCATGCTCCTTGAAAAAAAAGCTATGACCATCCCGGACAGTATATTAAAAAGCAGAGACATTACTTTGCCAACAAAGGTCCATCTAGTCAAAGCTATGGTTTTTTCAGTATTTGTGTATGGATGTGAGAGTTGGACTATAAAGAAAGCTGAGCACTGAAGAATTAATGCTTTTCAACTGTGGTGTTGGAGAAAACTCTTGAGAGTCCCTTGGACTGCAAGGAGATCCAACCAGTCCATCCTAAAGGAAATCAGTCCTGAATATTCATTGGAAGGACTGATGCTAAAGCTGAAACTCCACACTTTGGCCACCTGATGCAAAAACTGACTCATCTGAAAAGACCCTGATGCTGGGAAAGATTGAAGGCAGGAGAAGGGGGACAACAGAGGATGAGATGGCTGGATGGCATCACCAACTCGATGGACATGAGTCTGAGTAAGCTCCGGGAGTTGGTGATGGACAGGGAAGCCTGGTGTGCTGCTGTCTATAGGATCTTAAAGAGTTGGACAAGACTGAGCGACTGAACTGAACTGAACATGGGTATCAAAATACTATGATGCTTAAACCCATTGCATACATTTAAAAGAGTGAATTATTGTAAAATTACATTTATAATGTACTGGAAATTACATTACTTTTTATTACTTAAACTTATGGGGAAGAACTTTGGATGTTAGCTCACAATCCATTAGCCAGAAACATTCAGTAGTTTACAGGATAGGTGGGTAATGTACATTCAGTTCAGTTGCTCAGTCGTGTCTCTTTGTGACCTCTTAGGCTGCAGCATGCCAGGCTTCCCTGTCCATTACATTAACCTTCATTTACTGTTTTTTTCCCCAAACCCTAACATGGCACTTCAGAACACGCTGAGTTTATCTCATATAGCTCTATAAAAAAATTTTTTCTTCCCCCTTGAGAAATGTATTAAGTTCTAGAAGACTTTCTTTCTTTGTAAAAGTCTAGAAAATGTAACTGAAAAGAGTATCAGGGTTTTTATTTTTATTTTTTTAGTGTTTTTAAACAAATGTAAAATATTTAATACAAAGCAAGTATTTTTCAAAATTCAACACATACAGCCTAGAAACAATTTTTTACTTCTACTCTACAAATGATGCCTATACAATTTTCAAAGACATGGAGGCTGAGAATGGTCTAAGAACTCCAAAGATCTTTTCTATACATAGAAGCAATACTTCCTTAATCCTGTTAGTAATCCCCTAGATAGTCTTGGGTGCCTGCTCAGTCGCTTCAGTCATGTCTGACTCTTTGCGACCCTGTGGACTGTACTGCACCAGGCTCCTCTGTCCATGGGATTCTCCAGGCAAGTATACCCGCGTGGGTTTCCATGCCCTCCTCCAGGAATAGTCTTGCATTATACCTCAATTCTCTCAGCTTAATCACTGGCAAAAATTCCAGTGAAATCATTCATTCTAAATAAAAATATAAAAATGTATGTAGTGATTTTATTGTTTTAAAGCAATTCCATATAAATCATCTAGTATTAATTGAACATATCTAAATGACAGGAAGGATGTTAGGGATAAGAATTTTGCAGTTTAGTAATAACTTGCCCAGTTTACAAATCAGCAGAGATAGCAGCAGAGCTGACATCTCCAGACCAATCACACCAACCTCTCAATGAAATCCTCATTGGAGATATTGTTCATAATTCTACATTTTATGAAGTTATGGGATGCTCTGAAAGTAAGTTAAATCAAGTTACTGCCAAAGGCTTCAAACAAATCCTTAGCTCTATCAAACTTTCACTTTATACAAACTGGAAGAACTAAAACCGCCCAATTTGTCTGTAGTCAATGTAACATCATTTAAAAGTCACTTCTACGCTGAATGTATTTTGAATATATTGTACAAGTATGTTTTTTTCCCCCAAAGTTTGAATTCTTACATCACGAAAGTCAAAACACGACTACAACAGTACTTCTCGAGTATAGCTCTTCCTTTCACAAGTAAACAATGTTGAAAACACCACACAGAAACCAGTACAGACTTTTCTCATTAAGCCCTTCTAGAGTTGATTTCTACATGCCAGTGAATGGGTCTCCTAAACATCATTGTTCAATCCCTATCATTAACTCGGTTAAAACCCAGATATTTTAACACCGCATGAGGAATCACTTGTCCATGAGAAAAACTATTTTAATTAATTTAGCGCTAAAACTGAAAAGCATTATAATGCATATTTCAGCTACTGTAGAGTCTGGGTTCCCTTAAACTTCTACCAAAATAAGGCGCTGGAGCTACAGATTTCCGAGTTATTTTTGCAGTCGTGGGGTGAAGCTGAGCCAAGATGCAGGTGTGGAGCACCAGGCAGCCCGGGTCCCCATGGCTATTGTCACAGCAACGTGTCGCGGCTCTCGGGGCAGGCCTGAGTCCGAGGGGGGGGCGGAAAGTGAGGGCCTGCCCGCGCCTGAAGGACCCTCAAGGAAGGCCTTGGGACAGACTCCCCGGAGTTGAACAAAACGCCTTCAGTTGAAGGAAACCGGCTGGGAAAGCTGCCTGGGAGCAAACTAGCTAGTCCCTGCTCCTTCGCAATGGCTAGGGCAGATTTCCCGGCGACACCAGGCCGCGTCTGTTCTCTCTTCATCCTATTTTGCCTTTGTTATCACGATGCCTCGGACTTCTCTTTTCTGGTGCCTACTCAGCTTCAATTTAAGACGCCTTCACAGACGTGGCAGATGCCGAAGGTGAAGCCCCTAAACAGTCCCTCCACAACTAACACCTTCTCCCACGTTTTCTTCGCAGGCCCGCCCCCGGAGCGAGCGGCGCGCGGGACCGGGGGAGGCGAGCTCCCGCCGCGGCCTCGCCTCGCCCCGCCCCCGGGCGCGCGCCCCCACGGCGCGTCTCCGTATAAGGCCCGGAGAGCACACAGCCCCGCCTACTCGGCCTCCACCCCGGGCACGTCGTGCGGAGGGTAGGGGCTTGCAATAGGCTTCTGCGGCTCCTTTATTTTTTTCCCCCTAAGGGGACTGTTTCCACAATGGCAAAAAAACAGGTTCCAGTAAAAGGCAACAATCAGAAAAGAATAACTCTTACGAAAAGTATTAAATAATTTCACTGCAGGAGCTCGCGAGTTTACCCCGCCTCCAAAAGCTCGAGTTCCGCCCCGTGGAGCAACCCTCCCCCCCACCCCAAAGCCGCCCCCGGGAGCCCACGCTGACGCTGTCTCGGCAGCGCGCTAGCTCCGCCCCGCCAGCCCCGCCCCCCTGCCCCCTCGCCCTCCCTCAGGAGAGCCAACGCGCACGAACTGGGGCGTGAGGCGTCAGGGACGCGCGGGCACCTCATCATTCCCACCTTCCTACACTGTTGCTACTTTTCGGTGTGAGTCATTCCAGCTTATCTTCCCCTTCCGTGAGTCTCTCCTTTTCTCTTCTCAGAGACCCCGCTCATCCCGCAGGCGGCCACCTCCGCCGCAGCTCTCGCGCCCCCAGCGAGCAGTGCGCGTGCGCGCACGGCGGACTCGGGCGCGCGGCCGTCGAGTCCCCGCGCTCCCACCCTCCTCCCGCTGCTGTATAACTTGACTGGCTTGGAGGAGGCGCCGCCGGAGTCGGAGGGCGGGGAGCTCGGAGGAGGGAGCTCGAGAGTTGTGGAGACTAGTGACTGGGAGAAGTCGCAGCCTGCTCGGGTCGGCTGCTTCCCGCTCTCCGTCTCTCTTACAGACCTACTTCGCTTCCCGCCCCAGCCCCCGCGCTTTGCTCCTTCTCTCGCCCGGGGCCCCTGCCGGTCGCTCTCCGGGTCTCGGCGCGGCGGGGGCGCCCCGGGGGTGCCCTCGCCCTCCGGGTGCTGGCGGACGGGCGGCGGGCGGGATGTGGCGCCTGGTGCCCCCGAAGCTGGGCCGCCTGTCCCGCTCGCTGAAGCTGGCGGCGCTGGGCAGCCTGTTGGTGCTGATGGTGCTGCACTCGCCGTCGCTGCTCGCCTCCTGGCAGCGCAACGAGCTGGCCGACCGGCGCTTCCTGCAGCTCAATAAGTGCCCGGCGTGTTTCGGAACTAGCTGGTGCCGCCGCTTCCTCAACGGGCAGGTGGTGTTCGAGGCGTGGGGCCGCCTGCGCCTGCTGGACTTCCTCAACGTGAAGAACGTCTACTTCGCGCAGTACGGCGAGCCCCGCGAGGGCGGCCGCCGCCGAGTGGTGCTCAAGCGCCTCGGCTCGCAGCGCGAGCTGGCGCAGCTCGACCAGAGTATCTGCAAGCGGGCCACCGGCCGGCCCCGCTGCGACCTGCTCCAGGCCATGCCCCGCACCGAGTTCGCGCGCCTTAACGGCGACGTGCGGCTGCTCACGCCGGAGGCGGTGGAGGGCTGGTCCGACCTGGTGCACTGCCCCTCGCAGCGCCTGCTCGACCGCCTGGTGCGCCGCTATGCCGAGACCAAGGACTCCGGCAGCTTCCTGCTCCGCAACCTTAAGGACTCGGAGCGCATGCAGCTGCTGCTGACCCTGGCCTTCAACCCCGAGCCGCTGGTGCTACAGGTAGGTGCGGGGTTCCGGTTGGGAGCGTCCTGCCGGGAGGGCCGCCCGGGTAACGGGAGTCGGGAGAAGCGGCCCCGCCCGCGCCGGTCGCCCTGTCTGGACTCGGCGCGGCGGCGGCGCAAGGGAACCCCGGGCGAAGTGCGGGGTCGCGAAGGGCGAGCTGCTTAAGGGTGAGTCGGCTCTGGTCAGCTGGACGCGGGCCCATTTCCGATCAGACCGCGGATCCTTCAACGCCAGAGGGAGTGCGTCTCTCGTTCGCTCCCAAAATGTCTCTTCGGCGAGTTTCCTGGGGCTCTCCTCCCTCCCTGCCTTTCTGCTTTGATCTGCCGGGGCTTGCGCTTCCGCGGCGCAGTCTGCTCACGAGCCATTGGACCTTTTTCTTAGTTCTCTTCTCCAGTGTTTCTTGCTCTCCTCTTCAGTACCCCGCGCCGGCTGCTCTAACTTCGGCCCCGAAGTCTTTGTTTTTTTTTTTTTCCTTAGCTCATTCACCTGGCACATCATCAGGACAGCCAGACTGGGAGGATGAGGTTGGAAAATAGGGACCATGGTCGGAGTGGGGTTCATCCTTGAGTCGTGTGGTTTGGGTGGGATTAGGAAGAGGAAAAATAAGGCACGTTGGAGTTGAGGCTGCGAGGGTGTCAGGACGGACATTTTCATGCTGATCCTGTGACCTTTTCTGTTCGTTTGGTAATTTGGCTGCAGGGAGGAGATGAAGTGTTAGGCCAGGGCCAGAAACAGGGAAAGAAGTCACTTCTCTCCTAATTGGCGTATTGGCTCTCTCGTGACTTAGGGGATAGGCTGTGATCTTTTTACTGGCGGTGACGGCCAAAAAAGAAAACAGAATCCCTCAAAACTGTGCTTACCTTGGGGAAAGTTACTGAGTTTATACAGATTCCCATTAGCTTTTAGTGCGGCGTCCTTGGACAGTGGTTGCAACTGTGGGGGTGTGATCTCTCCTGATAACCACAGGGAAAGTTACCTTGCTCATTCACCATACCAGTTGTGCTGTATTTCAAATACAAAGGGGGGGGGGCGGGGCAGGGGGAACATGACATAAAACTAATCCCAAGTAATGTTGATATACTTCACTCCCTGTCTGCGCTGCTAAGAATGTCACCAATGGATGGGAGGTTTGTACTGGGTTGCATTTTTTTTTAATCTAAAGTGCATGTATAGCAATGTCCAGTATTCATTTATATGGCTTGCTTTTCTCAAGTTCTTCGCTGCCCAACTTAGCCAGAGGAAACCAGCATCGTTTGATTCGTGTAGCCAAATAATTTTAACACGAAATAAGTATTTTGCCTCAAACAAAACTGTAGTAAATTTTAAGGAGTCATAGGATATATGTAATGGGCCATTTAAGGTACAGATTGTATATTAAATGTTGTTCTCTTATCAGTGAATAGGATATAAAACTGGTTAAACGTCTCGAAGAAATTATTTGGTAGTTACAAAATTAGTCAGCCTCTAAAGTCTAAGTCCATATTTAATGCATATATTTTGATTTAAAACTTTTTTTTTCCGTTTAAGCTGCGTTTTCTCTTTGAGAAATAGATGTTTATGTTAGCAAGTTTGGTCTCTGGAGACAGCTCTAGCAATATAGTTTGCTGAGTAATCTGTCAAATTCTCTGGGATCCAAAAATTTAGTAAAGATAATATCTTAATAATACACATTTTCTGCACCTATAGTAATAGCTGCATATTAAAAGGTTTTTATCATGATTCTGCTAATGTTAGAACTAACACTTTAAGAATGTTGTACTAACACTTTAAGAATGTTGTACATGCAGTTCTATAAACGTATGTCATTTTAATACGAGAAATATTGACATTTGATTTGCACTGAGATAAATGCTTTATTTAGGAAACACATGTTTTTGAAGCTTGAAGTTGTCTTGCCATTTTCAGTTTACTTTACAGTTGAGATTGTCAGATAGGTTTTCTGATTAACTCTTCCCTTAAACTTTTTCTTCTCTTTTCGTTTTTAGTGATAGATGACTTGGAAAAAAAAAATAAAAAGATCAGTTATGTTTTTGTAATTTAAACTTACTGACAGTCACTTGACCATGTGGTTAGGTGGATTATAGGATAAGAGTTTGTTTTTAGCATATGAGGAAATACATGGCTGTTTGTAAATTGAAATGTTAATTTAGTTTTATAGCTAGTTACATGCTGTGTGAAATACAGACGAGGCCTTTAGTACTGGTCAATCATTGGAATGTTTATTTTTTTGACTCTTTATATATATTTTTGGATTCATGTGTTTTTTAAAAATATTTTTTAAAGTACAACTGTGTGTTTTACAGATTAAAGAGGAACTCCCCCGCCCTCCCCCCTTTTTTTTCTTTCCAGGAGAGGGAGCTACTTATTGAATTTTTGGACAGTTGGTGAGAAACTAGATTTTTTTTTATATTGCCCCAAAATTAACTACTTGGGAGAAAAAATATTTTAAACTGAATTCATCAAGCTGTTCTTAACAAGAGTTTCCATGTAGTAAACATGCTTCCAAAAATAAACATTTAAAAATCTCTTTTGATAAGGTACTAAAGAACTGAAAAGTATGTGTGAATTTAGCCCATTCAATTTGCCTCTTCAGATTTTAAGAAACAGTAAAAATCTGAGTTTCTATTATGCCTTGAAAGGAGACATGAATGGTATTAAATGTCATGGACCTAACTTATCTGTGTAAGGCGGTACAGATTTGTAGTACAAATTTCCCAATGTGAAATGATACAGAAGTATAACTCTTTTCCCATTGTTGGATAGTTTTACTAGCTTACAGCAGCTTATCTAACTCTAAGGAACAATTATAAGCATCAACAGGATAATGCTAGAACCTTTATCTTCTACTCTGATACCTTCTTTTCCTTTTCACAGTTTTACTTTACCTAGAGGTATATTTTATAACAAGTTTGCCATAATTTTATGGGGAAAAATGCAGAGAGGGACTTTGTAATACAGTGCATAGCAGCATTCTTGGAATAGTTGAAAATGAGAGGTTGAAGTATTTCGCAAGATAGCAAGATGTTTTCTGTTACTGATAAAATTTTTACCAGTATTTATACTTAACCTATTCTTGAATTTATAAAAATTGTGAGTGTGTAAGGGAGAAAAATGCTGTCTGGATTTCCTGAACCCCAAAATGTTATCTCTGACTTTATAACTCAGAGATAGTGAAGATGGTCTTATTTATAGAAGTAAGAAAGCTCTTTGTTTTTTAAGGGCAAGGGTGTGGGAATTTGTCTTATTTGCAGAATTTTGTCTTAAGTTTTCTAAATCATGTTTTTAATAGGATTTCTTTAATTTTTAAAGTATGTAACTATCATTGTTTAAGCTATAGATTTTAAACCTTCAGTTCTTGTAAATGACATAATACCTGGAAAGCATTTTATATAGTGCTTGATGTGTAGTAAGCACTCAGTAATTAGAAAGTGTTTAGATATTAAATAAGTAAAAGTAACTTAATTATCTAGTGCATTTGGTTAACAGTTTTGAAGCTTGTTTGGAATATGGATCACCTTAAAAATAGCTATGTTTTTGAATATCAGCCATACCTTTACTTCACTAATTTAGTCCATTCCTACATTACAGGATGAATTTTTACAATTAAACTTGGAGTGAATGTTGTGTCTGCCCTTAAAAATAACTTCTGTAGGTGAAGAATATATCTTTAAGATGTACTAAGATGCACTTTTTGACGTAAACAGATGATGGCCATTAAGCTGATTTTTTTACTTTGGACTCTTGGTAAACTTTTTGTGGGACTCCCTTATCTTTTTTTTTCTCTCTTTCTTTCTTTTTTTTTTTTTAACTTATCTTTAAAATGAGACAGTTGGATTAGATCCTTTCCTTTTCAGCCTCAACACCCTGTGACTCTTACACTCTCAACCTAAGTTGTCATTCTGCTTCTGAGCTTGAGTTTAACTGGTGGGTTTAAGCTCTTCTAAAAGGGAGTCAGAGGTTTGGTACTTGATTCCTGCTAGCGTATATGGGCCAGAGGCCAGATTAGCGAGCCCTATTTCAAGCTTGTCTTCCTGGCCCCAGTTTTTACACAGAAGAAATCAGGTTAAAACAAATCTAAATTCGAGACTGCCTTTAAAAGAAAATAGTCTGGAGCTAAGGGTAGCTAAGGTTCTTGTGGGGCAGTGGCACCTCGGAAGGGTGTTCCAGACTTTGTCTCAGGAGTTTCTTTTCAAACCAGAGTTTAAGGGCCCACCTTCTTCTCTACCAATGATTGCTGAAGTGGTAACCACACTCTCAGATTTAGGCTTCAGAGATGTTTCTGGCTAGGTAGTACTGAATAGAGTACTTTTTAATCTAATAAATGAATAAGCTTATATCTAGAGGTTTTTGGGGGGGTTTTTTTCCTTCTGTTTTTCTTCTTTTTAACAGAGGTTTTATTGACACTTAATTGTGCTTAATAACAGAGCAAACAAAAAAATAACATCTGTGTGTAACCCAAGTCTCAAAAAGGATACTTTTATTTTGGAAAGATTGTAGAAACAGATGATCATCCATAGGAAAACACCACTTCCAGATCAATGGAGCAAAATCATTTGATACCCTGGCCTATTTCCTGTTTATCTTCATATCTTCTGGCCATTATTAGTTCTGAGAGTGCAGAAATGTTTTTTTCGTGTAATATTTGAACTATTTTCCCTTGTATTTCCATTGCATGGGTCAGCACATAGTCCTCTCATACGTTAATAGGGAGTCAGTTTTTCAGGGAATGATCAGAATGGTTTTTATTCTGATTTTTTGGCCTCTGGTCTCTGGCTCCTTCCTGTATTGCTGTTATTGTTGCTTATTCTTCACAGAATGTTGGCATGTTTTCTTTCTTTACTTTTCACACTGAAACTAATATGTCCTTAGAATATAAGCCCTGCATTTTTCCTATACATAATGAACTTTAGTAAATTATTGTAAACTGTCTTAAAACAATAAATTCTTGGCATAAAATTAGGATAGTTATTCACCCTGGTCATAGACTTTGAAAGATT